GTAATAAGTAAGATATTTGGTTTGATGAAACTTGTTTAACACCAGTCTTCTCTTGATACTTGGTATGTTTTAAGAAACAATTGTGATCTGGATGCTGTGCACAGATTATTTTATCTACCGTTTTCTTACACTCTTATGTGATTTGGTACAATACTTTTGCATTAGCTTAATGCATGGATGTTAATGACAAGAATATAGGCAGGAGTTGTACATGAAAATTGAAACTTAAAATGTATATTCTAAATTTTGCAACAAGTCTCACATGATAATAGTTAGTGGTATAGAGCCTTTCTACATGTGCAAAATGAATATTCTAGAATCAAGAGTGTAGTTCATCTAAGTTCTAGCAACCCTGTAAGGTGACCCGGATCATGTCCAACGAAGTATTTCGGGCTGATTCGGAAAGACGAAGGCAAAGTTTCACAAATAGTTAAAATTGCAGCTACTGTTATTAGATTTGAGATTGTTGGTGTTTTTCTTTAAATTTCTTATTAGGAAAAAAAATGCGTTTCTCAGTTTTTGGACATTTTTAGTTACCAATTCCTATTAATAGTTTATGTTTGAAGGTTTCTTTATATAATTCACGGCAGTTATCTTGTAGAGGTTTTCGGAATTGTTTTTTGGTTTATATATTCATAAAACGATACCATGAGCCTTACAACATCTTCAATCTTGGTGGTTTTTCAATGGGTTTATTCAAAGTAAAAAGAAACTGGAGATTGATGTTGAAGATTGGTGGTTTTTCAATGGGTTTATTTTATCCAGACTTAATGGTTGTCGCCATTGTACGAACACGAGTCTTTTCCAATGCGCTTTGAGCATTCACATGCTTACCTAGCTTTGAAGTTCTTATGAACTGTGTGTGCCAGAAAAAAAGGTACACTCTGTATTTTGACATTAGACATTCTTTTTTATAGTTTATGTATTTTTGTATTTTAGAGAAGTCTTAAACTTTGGTACGAGACGTGCTTTGGGTTTTCTTGTTTATACAATGTTCTAGAAGCAATGTTCTAGAAGCCGTTGGTAGCCTCTAGGTGCTTGACCAGCGCATAGAGCCTAGGTAGGGCCTTGGTGACAAAATTAAATACTTTATTTTTTTATTTATTTATATTACCTACAAAACAAAATTATCTCAACTTATAATAAATTCAGACAACTAAGTTTAAATAATAATAATAATATATTATAAAGAAAACATCATAACAAAATAATATAATGAATATTTAAAAAAAAAAAACTGAAAAATTGTTGTTGAGCCTACCTAGGCCCCGCTCAGCCGCCAAGCCCGACCAGACGCCTGCCTAGCTGCCTGGCTGAATTTTTCAACCCATTCATTCAAATCAGAAGCGGCCACCTAAGCCGATTTTTAGTACAATGATATATTGAGATTGTAAGAAATGCAAGATCTAGAAATGGAATTTTAGTCTTATTTTATTTTTATTTTTTTATATGTATAACTTTTCATGAAAATCTACCGTCAAAATCATAATATGTTATGAAATTCATCATCTCCAACCAGGCCCCAACCCACAAAAGAAGCAATTGAAACAGCAAACCAGCACACCCAAAAAATTGAAAATTGGATCAAATGCCATAATCATAATACAGAAACATAAAACACAACTTAACACACACAAATTTTGAGAAAGGTAAACATTAAAAGCAGCAGCATTCCCATGATAATTTTGCTCAAAAACTAATGAGTCAACAGAGCATCAAGAAAACCAGCATTCAACAATTCACAATTCTCAACAGATCACATATATATCACACAAAAGCTGCACGTCCTTCACTAATGTTCTTGAATTCTTGCTAAGCAGTAGAACCTCCGGTCTGGTGAAGCATGGCATCTATCTCGTCACCTTCCTCCATTTCCAGCTGTCAACCACAACACGTTGTATTAATCATGTTTGCGTTCGAAATTCGAATAAAGAAAAAAGTATGTAACTAAGGAAAGAACTCGTAAGAGAGTGAGAAAAAGAAAACCTCATCTGGAGTCTGTTCTCCTCGGAGGCGGCGGCCATCAAACAGAAAAGCAATGGAGTTGAAATCCACCGATTGACGGTCACAGTAAGCATTCATAAGCTTCTTTAGTTGAGTGCTTCGCTTTATCCTGAAGAAAACCTCATTCCCATCCTACAACAAGCAATCAAACATTATAATGTACTCCTCTGTTCTCATAATATGATGTGCTAAACACTGAATTCCTACATGTTATTGTAACAAAAAATTCATTCATCGACATACCTTCTGAAGATATGCAAACACGACATTTACCAGAGATTCAGAAGCATTTTTACAAAAGGAACAAACAGATCAACACCTCCACACACTAATAGTGCGGAGGCTTTTCTAAATTGAATCTCAAGTTCAATATAAGTATAGGGGTGGATGTAATATCCACAACACCACTTAGTACATTAAAATAGAGAGATCTATAATTCTTGATTTTATAAGTTATAAGTGAAAAACGCTTGTCCGTTTTTGGCTTCAACTCACCACACAAGCCCATGCAGCATTTACATCTTTTATGTAAGTAAATGACTTGGCAAAGATAACTAAAAGAAAACAAGATTCGGCTAGAAAAAGTCCAGGAAACAGGAACAGCCCATGTAAAATTATATTGGTGATTAACAGTCAGTAAGACACTACCAATCAAAAGGATCACTCAACTCTTCTTAGAAAACATTGGGTTCGGGGGAGGGGGGGTATAATGACGTGCTAGAAAGACTTCAGATAGCACAACATCCAATAATACTTTAGATAGCTTGCTTTCTCACCCCATTAGAAAGCAAGTTAACAAAATACAATCATCCAACATCTAACCGAATGAAACTGAATAAACCATGGCCAAACAACCCAATAATAATTCATCGGAATTCACAATATTCAGTGACTCCTATAATCCTATTCAACTTCGTAGTTTGCTATTAGGAATAATTGCCGATGTCCACTCAAATAGAATGCAACACGTATATATCGTAGATATATCATTTGTTAAACAAATTTTTTGGGTTTATAAATCTACCATAAAATTTAAAACTGAGCAACTAGTGTTTACTGAAACATTAGGATTGCCCTATACCCAAAGGGCTTCATTCAAAGGCCATCAAACACAATTCGACTCACAAAGTGAACGAACTTACATATGATTGAGTAACGGAAAATCAAACCAACAAAACTACCACATGTAAGTGAAATTTAAATTACAAAATAAAACAGAAAAAGGGCAACAGCAAAACCCTAGACACTCACACAACAAACAATCAATCATCATTCCAGAAACATAGGAACAAATTCCTGCTATCAGGCAACGATAGACATCAAAACTACACACGTGAAAAAAAGTAAGCACGAAATAGGAACAAAAATAAATCGGCCCCGTCGAATATTTATTTGGAAAAACGGGCGGAACCTGGCCTTTCACTTTGAGATTAATGTGCGCCGATGAGTCTCCGCCGGAAGGCTTCTTATCTTCATCTACGGTCGACATCTTGTACTGCGATGGCCGGATAAATTATATGCCTTTCTGCTTCGACTTCTCCTTTGCTTTTGCTCGTTCCCAACTGAGAAGTTTGTACTCTCCCGACCTTTTATATGCGAGCAATTATTTATTTTGTCCCATTATTTATTGTCTCCCTGACCTTTTATTATCTTCCTTTTAATTAAATCTCAACCCTTCATCTTCTTGTTCAATCCCCCAACAAAATAAATATATAAATAAATTCTCTCCACTCCCTACCTATCATCATCTTGTTCAATTTAACTAATGTTCTAAAAACCGAACCGTTCATCGAACCGGTGAAACTACCGGTTCAATGGTTCATTGGTCGGACCAGTGGCCGAACCGGTCGAACTGATTTAATTAATATATAATAATTATATATTTTATATGTTTAATAAATACTGTGATGGTATCGAAAAACGAGGGAAAGTGGAGAATGTGCATAGATTTCAGGGATCTTAACAAGACTTGTCCTAAGGATCATTGTGCATTGCCTAGAATCGACCAATTGGTCGACTCCATAGCAGGGTGCGGGCTGTTGAGTTTAATGGATGCGTCCCAGGGCTACCATCAAATTCCCCTGGCTCGAGTGGCTCGAGAAGATAGAAAGAGGGTGAGTTTTGTCACAAGTTGAGGAACTTACTATTACGTAGTGATGCCCTTCGAGCTAAAGAACGTGGGAGCAACGTACCAGAGGTAGTATCAATATTATAAAATTAGAATTTGGTTTCACAATCGTTATTTTTAGAAATAAAAATATTAATACCAACTTCAATTAAAATGATCCAAAAAGTAGTTTATATTTTCAATAATACTATGTGCTTGTTAAAATTACCATGAACATATTCATTTAAGATGGTAGAAGTAGTATATATATTATAAAATTAAAATTTATGATAGGCTATCATTAACAATGGGTATGATAATTTGTCTCTATATCTTTTTTTTTTAATTTATCATGTTTAATATTTGATAATAACAGAAGAATTTGAATAATCGACTAGTATAACACATTGTACGAAGAAGAAAAATCTAACATTAGACTTTTACAAAGAAAGTGAAAAAAAAATCTAATTAAAAATAAAATTAAAAGCGGTCATCGGTGTTTTTCCATTGAATCTAGTTCCCCATATATATTAATTCAAAACATGTTGAACGTAAGTGATAGGCTCACTCGCTTCAAATAGTGACAGAGGAGGATCTAGAAAAATATATTGGGAGGGACAGTATTAGTTTCAATCACTTGCAGGCGACTGGACTTTGCGGCGGGGGAAGGATGTAAGGGAGAGGGGATGGACAATGGGCGACGGATGGAGGACGAAGCTGATGGGAGCCTGGACGACGGACCAGACGACAGCGTAGACGGTAGCCTGTCGAAGCCGCAGGAGAAAAAATAGGTTGCTGGAGGAAGACGGTGACAGATGTGAATCGGCAATGATGATGGCCATCGGAGTTGGTCAGAGGAGTGGCGGATGGCGGTGGTTGGTGAAGGCTAATGGTTGCGGTTGACATCGACCGATTTCCGCGGTCGCAGTCGGGGAGAGAGAAAGATAACGTGGATGGTAGGTGGGGTGGGGATGGGCGGGACCCACTTGTAGGTGAAAGGGTAATGTGTAGTGTTCAATTTGTCTTTACTGAGTGGTTATAATGTATGTATTATATCTTATGTTGTAGGAAATACTTGATTAATCTTATAATACATATAATAATCTTGATATAAATAAATTTGTACTTAATTGTATTTTTTTCAATCATAAATTGATAATTTAAAACAATATGTGTTAGATAATATATTTTATTAAATTATATTTTTAATATTAAAATTAATTAAAATAATAAGGATAAAATGTCAATAACTCTACTCTATCCTATAGTAGAATNCCCAATCCTCCTCCACAAGGAAAGAAATCTAAACCATAATCCTTTTTAGGAATAGGACTATGTACTTCGCCTCTCCCATTAATAATAATCTTCTTATTAGGAATAGGATTACTTGGCCTCTCACATTAATAAATACACCCCCAACAACAAAATTGGGGAAACGAAAAAGACAAAAACAAATATATAAATGAAATCAGCGATGATGGCTGGGGCGCCGATAATTGTCCGGCAAGTTTACGAATACAACGCGGATGAAGAATTCAGGCTAATCGAGCAGTGCCTCCCCAACTTCCCGTTGGCCGCCCTCGACACCGAGTTTCCGGGCACCATCTACCACCCACCAGACGACGCCGTCGCCGGCCACCTCCTCCCCCCCCCCGCCTTCTACTCCGTGATGAAGAAAAACGTGGACGCCCTGAACCTGATCCAGATCGGCCTCACCCTCTCGGACGCCGCCGGCAACTTCCCCTCCTTCGGCACCCACTGCCGCTACATCTGGCAGTTCAATTTATGCGATTTCGACCGCCACTTGCACCCCCACGACCCCAAATCCATATCCCTCCTCCAGCGCCAGGGCATCGATTTCGACCTGAACAGACTCGCCGGCATCCACTCCATCGACTTTGGCCGCCTCTTCTGGGCCTCGGGCCTCGGCGACAGGTCAATCGGGCCCGTTTCCTGGATTACCTTCCACGGGCCCTACGATTTGGGCTTCCTCGTCAAGGCCCTGTCCGGGGGGCAGAGGCTGCCGGAAAACTTGAACGGATTCTTGCAGCTGGTGAGCACCTGGTTGGGGACTTGCGTGTACGACGTGAAGAGCATGATTGGGTCGTTTGGGCTGCACGGCGGGCTCGAAAAGGTGGCCAAGAGCCTCAATTTGGGCCGGGCTGCTGGGAGGAGCCACCAGGCGGGTTCGGACAGTCTGCTGACGATGCACGTGTTTCTGGAGCTGAGGAGAAGGTTGTTGGAGGATGATGATGATGATAGGAAAGGGATGAATATTAGATGGTTGAACCATTCTCTTTATGGTCTCGGCCATAGTGGCTTCACTTCTCCATCTTATTTTTGTAGACTTATGTTGGAATTTGTATAATTTGTTTGAATCACATTTCAAATCAGATGGTATATTTTGTAACTATTGGTCTAGTTGAATGAATTAGAGCAGTGACCCCAGTATAATAACTAAGCAGAAGTTAAGCATATACAATGAAGTAATAAACAAAAAAAGATTTGCTAGCTTGACAAATGCCGGCAGTTAAAGTAATAAATAAAAAAAGATTTGCGTTGTATGCAATTGTTTTTAAATCACGTGTTTAAAAAACTTGGATATTGATTCCCTTACATGGAAGCACATTTGCCAATAATCAACAAACCCAAAATGGAATAAGAAATCTATCAATTCTCCCATACACAACTTTCACAAAACGTCTCCATATGTTATATAAAGGGGCATAATCATCCTCACTCGAACAAAAAGAAGATGAAAAGATGGGAAAGAAATTGCAAAACAAATGCAACCCTTTAGCACACCCCAAAAATTTTCTTGTTGTATTCTTTACGCTGTCGTTTTCGTTTTGTCACTCCCACGATTATGGAGAAGCCCTCTCTAAGAGCCTCCTCTACTTTGAGGCCCAACGATCTGGCCACCTCCCATACAACCAAAGAGTGACCTGGCGACACCACTCTGGCCTCACAGACGGCCTTGAACAAGGGGTTTGTTCACTTATATGAAATAGCATATTATTTTAACCATTAATTGTTTACGCACATATGCGTATGTGTCTCCTACTTAGTTTTAACCATATGAAATTAACAAATCGAGGGATCATGCGTCGTATTCATGCTTGTATTAAGACACCCAACAAAGATTCTATCAGTTTCTTCTGTAACGCTGGCTCGGGTGACTCGTATTTTTTTTTTTTTTTAATAATACTAAATGTTATAGTGTATACATAAATATGCATAGGTGGACTTGGTGGGGGGCTACTATGATGCTGGCGACAATGTAAAGTTCGGTCTGCCAATGGCTTATACTATTACACTGCTTTCTTGGGGTGTCATTGAGTTTAAAGATGAAATAGCTGCAGCAGGTGAACTAAATCATGCCCTTGAAGCCATTAAATGGGGAACTGATTATTTCATCAAAGCACACACTCATCCTCATATTCTCTGGGCTCAGGTCTTTTTTCCTCTTTACTTTTTTTTTTTTNTGCTTATTCATTTACATTATCTCTAAAAATGTTAAATCCTCTAGCATAGCATGAACTTTACGAAAAAGAAACTCAATCGTCACATGTACAAGACAATCGTATTAATTCATAAATGCAAATCAGATACAGTCTCGATTATATGGTAAATTTTTCTACACACGTGAGTATGATGTATATAATGTGCAGCGTAACGGGAGTCGCCATTCGTAATAAAAGATCTCATCCGAATCATAATTGAATGTCAATTTTCCATGATGCACTTGATGAAATGAGTAAGGGTAATAAATAACAATTTTTAATTAACGGACGTGATTACAAGGTGGGTGATGGGGACACAGATCACCTGTGTTGGCAGCGACCAGAGGACATGACAACTTCCCGACGTGCTTACAAGGTTGACGAGGAACATCCTGGATCTGAGGTGGCGGCTGAGACAGCGGCAGCCATGGCCGCCACCTCTATCTTGTTCAGGAGAAAAGATCCACGTTACTCGCACCTTGTATTGAACCATGCAGAGCAGGTAAAGTTTAGTTACAATTGTTTCATATTTAACTCCAATTTTCGTATAAACAAGGGAATAATGTGGTGAACTTTGTGTTTACCTTTAATTATATTATTATGGAAGTTACAAAATTGAAGGACATTAAACTGTGAAAACTGCAAATATATGACTCGGATGCAGCTATTCGAGTTTGGAGATAAATTTAGAGGAAAATACGACACGAGCATTAAGGTCGCAAGAAGATACTACACGTCGATAAGTGGATACAACGATGAGTTGTTGTGGGCTGCCCTGTGGCTGCATAAGGCAACAGGCAACATAACCTACTTGGATTATGCCATTAAAAACGCCGAGGCCTTTGGTGGGAGCACTTGGGCCATCACTGAATTCAGCTGGGATGTTAAGTTTGCCGGCGCCCAAATTTTAGCTTCCATGGTAATAGTTTCGATAATATTGCTCCCTCTCTTTCTCCCTCAAAAATATTGTAATGTTGGAAAAATCATGTAGTTACCCACGCGAGGAAAGAAGAAAAGAGACGAGCAAGTCCTGCGCGAGTACCGCTCGAAAGCCGAGCACTACATGTGTGGGTGCCTCGACAAAAACAAGGCCGCAAATGTGAAGCGGACCTCAGGTGGGCTCCTCTACACTCGTCGGTGGAACAATATGCAGTATGTCACCACCTCAATCCTCCTACTCACAGCCTACACCAACCACCTTCAGTCCACCGGAGGAGTGCTAGGCTGCTACGCGGGCCCAGTGGGCCCAGACGAGATCCTAGCCTTTGTGAAATCACAAGTGGACTACATCTTGGGCTCTAACCCAATGGGCTTGAGCTACCTGGTTGGGTACGGGCCTGCGTACCCAACCAGGGTGCACCACAGGGGTGCATCCATTGTGTCGTATAAGGAGAGCAGTGATTTCGTGGGGTGCATGCCAGGGTACCATCGTTGGTTCGTGTCGCCCAGCCCAAACCCAAACGTGCTCGTTGGGGCTTTGGTGGGTGGGCCAGATTCGGAGGACGTGTTTAGGGACAAGAGAGATAATTTTGCACAGACGGAGGCCTGCACGTATAATACTGCACCGTTGGTTGGGGTTTTTGCTAAGTTCCACGCGACTCAAAAGGATAGTGTGATTTGAAAATTTTTCTATGGTCAAGATTCATTGTACGCCCTAGTCAAACATATTTTTGTGTAAAGGGGTACAAAAACATATGAAATAAAGCATGAACTATTTTATCATTAAACCATCTTTGTGGGTCATTTTCGTTTCGCTACATGTATCAGGATTCCGAAGATGGCACTGAAAAACAGCAGGGTAATAATATCAATGGTAGGTAATGGTATTATAAGAGAGACAGAAAAGACCATTTTAACAAAACTGGAACCTAGTTCTTTGAATTGACAAGACCTCACAGCCATAGAAGAAGAAGTTTTAGTCCAGACTATGAAAACGAAAGGAACCAACAAACTGATAGTGATGAAACATAAGCAAGAAATATGAGCAAAAAGTAATATTGAACCAAGCAAAGTAAATTACCAAAGTATCATGTCTGGAATTCTTAAAAACACGTTGACATTTTCATATTTTTCAAATCATTATACAAGAATAATTTCATCAATGACGGTAGCTTCAAAGAGTTAAAAAGACTAGGGATTTCTTTCGGATCCAGATAGCCCAACACTTCAATCTCTTCCTTCTGACTTTCATGTCCATCTGTTGACAGAGATGGCTTATTCCTGCAAGCTGCAGAAAGAGATTTGAATTCAACTTGAAGCATGATGTTAACATGATGACATTGAAATCAAATGTGTATAGAAAATGATTAATATATATATTAACCAAATGTATATAGTGAAAGAAAAGACAAATGTTTTAATTTGTACTCTAGCTGAATACGAAAAATCAAGTTCTAATTCAAGACATTAACCATAAAAACAGAATTCAAGAGTAGTAACAATTTTCACTCCCTTGTCCCTTCCAATGTTGAACTACGGAGAAGTGCTATCCGACTCAATAGCTTCACTTAGAGACTTTCCTTGACCTTCTCCTACTTTTTTCCGCATGTCAACATCCACATTTCGTACTCTCCAAGAAACAAATGTACTAAGTGCTCATCTAGGCATCTAGCATATATCAAACTGAGCATTCCCTAAAAGTAAAACCTCCAAGAGTTGAAACCCTAACTCCCATCCCTATAGTTTCAATTGTTTTTTACACGTTAATCTTTCATATCATTTGGATAAATAGCCAATTCCAGAGCATATTCTCAATTGCATAGAACAAAAACAACCAAAGGATGACTATCAATTAGAATGATTAGATTACTGATAGGGAATGGAACTTTCTTAAAACATACATCAACTTTGAAGCCAATGTAAGACGACATACACAAACCACTTAATTTTAGTCTCAGACAAGAGAACGCAGCAAGGAAAATTCGAAATTCTATTCATTTATGTTTTCACCACATAACATAAGTAAGCTGAAATAATCTAAAAC